CATTTGATACAACAATAAATTGCACTTATATAGCACCTTTCATGTCGGGAGGACGTCGTAAAGCACTAGAAACGGAGCCTTCAACACCCAATTGTCTCAAAGCGCTTCACAATTAACTGCTGTCATGTGGAGTGACTGTGTATTTTGTGGGCAAACCCGACAGCCAATTTGCACGCAGCCGTGTTCCACAAACAGCCGTGAGGTGAATGAAACTCCCTTCTCTTTTCGACTAGTGCCACGAGATCTTTAACATCCATTTGAACGCATAGACAGGACCTTGGCTTAACATCTCTTCCGAAGGACGGCACCTCTGACAATGTGCTTGGTGGGGCAGTGGGACACTCGAGTCTCGACGGCCTGGGGCTTGAACCCTCAACCTTTTGACCCCGAGTCAGAGATTTACCAACTGAGCCAGGTTGGCATCGAGCATTATGTATAATCCCTTAAAGGTGGGGGTGGTGGGGAATGGAATCAGTCTACACTGTGGATCATGGCCATATAAGGGGCACCAGAAAGTCCACATGTTTGACTGTCTGTCAATTCCCCTTGCTTACTTTATGTGCAAGTTCTCTCCGCACAGGGCTGCTCAATACCGAACCATGTGTTAATGAGGCATTTCAATGGGGAGACAAGTCATTCCTGGAAGAATCATTGCGGGAATCCTTGCTCCATTCCAACATGATGGAGCAGAGCTAACAAACAGTAACAAATTACATCTGCGGGCAACACAAATCACACTAAAGAGATGGATGGGGGGAAGGGGACGGTGTGTAAAACACATAGAACTTGAGCGGAGTCGACTCCATTCACCCCTGAGACACGGGGACAAAATTGGCGGCATTTCTTAACACATTCCTCGTGTTAATCGACCTGCGAAAACAGAGTTAAAAAAACGACTGCAAACTTTACCCGGTCCGTGTTTCGGTGGAGAATAGGGAGCGGGAACGGGCAAGTGAGAGAAGCCGTTTAAAATGTTGACTGAGCTTTCAATGGGAAAATGCTTCAGTTTAGTATTGTTGGTGTTGAATGTTAAATGGGTGACCTGGGGATGGTGAGGGTGGTCTGTGAGCTGCTCCGTGAGGGGCTTATGAATTACGAGCATGAAATTCATGCTGTAAGTGATCCACTCGCTGGCTGTATCCAGGAGAATGATGCCCTGAAGGTTCACTGTGATGTTCTCCTTCGCGCAGCTGCAAGGACTCAACAGGATAATTTCATGCAACATAGTTCTGAACTCGGGTTCTGTCAGCACTGCCGTGAATCCTCCCAGTGGCTTCCAAGACGCACCGGGGATCTGAACTTTACGTCTTGTTTACGTCGTGCTCCTACTCACACATTGCAACTTGCTTTTGATATAATAATAGTAATCCCTGCATTTGATACAGTGCATAATCATGTCGTTGAGATGACTCAAAGCGCTTCAAAGAATGCATTGTGAAGTGAATTGACTGTATTTTGTGGGCAAAACGCAGCAGCCAATTGCGCGCATATAACGTCTTATCACGTCGTCGAGACAGCTCAGCTCTTCAGAGGCTAAGCTGTAGCTGTGCAACACTCATACACTTGAAAAAGGGGAATTTTTTTTAAAAAAAACGGCGTAGGCAATGATTTTGCCTTGAATTTCTCTGAATTCATGTGCACGCATTGGCTGCAAGAGAAGGTCGTTTCTCCCCTTATCCCGGCTAACAATCCGCACTGTCAGAATGGATCATTGACTTCACCGCTGTCTGCGGACGTCGCTTTGCAAAAATTGGCTTCCACCTTAGCCTATAAAATGCACAGTCACTGCAGTTTACAGTAAAATCCCCTGGAGCGCTTTGAGACGTCCTCCTGTCATGAAACGCGCCGTATCAAATTATTATTATAATTTACAAAACGTACAGTCAATTCACTTTGCAGTGTATCCTGTGAAGCGCTTTGAGACGTCTCAAAGTCATGATAAGGCCCTATATCAAATGCAAATTATTATTATTATTATTATTATTATAGGCGAGGAGAACTGGACAGAGAAGAGGAGAAAAAGTGAAGAAAATGTGACTTTGTTATAACTATAGCGATCTTTCATCAATCCTTCCTAGACCAATAAACTTAAAATGACTGTGATATCATTCCCAAAAGTCATGCTGGCCTGTCTGCCTAAATATTATTCTAACTCAAATCTACATACAACTGGGTCAAGAATGAACTAAAGGAAAATGAATCAACCGCGGGCTCTTAAAAGTGTCTCTTCTTTATAGCGTTTCCCAATTGTCCCCACTTTCTTGCGCGTTGTTCACGGAGAATGTTTGTTTAGGTGGGAGTTCTTATCGATTCAGACTGCAAGTGCAATGTTCCCCACATATCTTCCAGAGATTCTGTGACAGTCCCTCACTGTGGGTGCTCTTATTCGAGACAGATTTACTAACAGACACGGAGACAATGGGAGCCAAATGCCTCAAGTGTGGAGGAAGTCCTCCCACGCAGTCTATTTCCTAGACTTTCAGCCCAAATTTTCTCCACTGCCTTTCACTCCGATTCTAAGGAATGACAGCTTACTGTGCCTACAGAAACACTGTAAAGTGTTGCAAATGTGTATTCCGTAGGCAAAGATTCAGGTCAAAGGCAGGAAAATAAGTCAATATTAACAATGTGCCCTGATCTTGATACTATAATGGGAACGTGCTCGGGCTGTACTGTGGATCTTTGTGATCCGCAATTCCCTTATGAAGTGTATATTACAGTATTATTTATTATTGATGTTGTACTCAAAACTCAATGTGTTATCTCCTCCGATGGACCACCTACAATTTCTAAACCTTGATGTTATCTGGACACTTCTTAACTTGGCTCATTTTCATTCAAAGCAGCGAGTAATGATCCAAGAGCTCCTTGCCATCCTTCGAAACTGAACAAATCTCCTTATCGCACGGTAAACGTTACAGATTCTGACTAACCACCCACCCCATAACCTTATTGTAAAGTAAGCAATACTTGTCACAACTGAGCTGGAGTGTGAAATATGAAATAGGTACAGGAGTTGTACCTGTACATATGTTCGGGAGGTACAGAGGTCAGCCGATCTAGCTTGTTCTGCCAATAATACTACTAATAATAATCCTTGCATTTGATGTAGCACCTCATCACGTTGTTGAGACGTCTCCAAGCTCTTCACAGAGTATACTGTAAAATGGATTGACTGCATATTTTGTGGGCGAAACACGGCGGCAAATTGCACACAGCAGTTTCTCAAAAACAATCGTAGATTGAGTGACCCAATTTTTTTAATGGATTACGAAAGGCGTTGTATAAAAAATATAATTTGTTTATGGAACCACATCACTCCAAACTTGCTTGTTGGATTAGACTTTGACTAAATTAATCTTATAAAAAAAATCTTTCTCAACAGTTCAGGGTCATTCAACGTTTTACTGTGTAAATAAATATTTTTTTTCTGTTCCATGTTGGGAATTAAGCTCTGGAAGAATAACAATAATAGATCAATTTTGAGGTATACTTTTGAAATATGTTGAGTACATGTTGACGGCAGATAATTGCTTTTCCGAACCACCAGTGAAGAAAGTTTTGTGTCATCTTAAATCCTTGATATAATTGCCATTTTAAAACAACCAAAGAGGATTCAATCACTGCAAACCATATTTGCTCCATTAAAGTTGATTGTTTACTCCTGCTGGCATGAGCTAAAGTATTATTTTCTTATTGCTAAACTCTTTTTTTGAGTCAGCCTGTGTATTGTGCAATACATATTGCAAAGCGCTTTGAGATGGCCTCTTGGATTAAAAAGTAGTATCAAGTGCAAGAATCATACGGCTTGAAGTGCAAATACTTCCCCTTCCCAACGTTGCTGACTCGTATGTACAAGAATATAACCAAACCACTCGTTTCTTTATTGTCTCTCAACAAATCATGATCCGTACGGATAAGTGTAGACCCAACTGCGTTGACTGCAAAAATACCCCAGCAACATGCAGAATAGCAAGCCTTTACTGAGGTCATGCCACGGAATATCCCTGGATAATCATCTTTCGTATCTGTGTACAGAATGATGAATTTACTGCGGTTTACATACTGCTCAATCACCTGTGTCAGCACATAGGCTCTATTTCTGACGGCAGATGGAATGCTATAGCAGAGTGGTTGGGGGTGGAGGGGGTCAGAAGACATTCGGTGATACCTCTATCTTCTGGGATTCCTTCCAACCAAAGAATGTTATTTCAAGATCCCTTTCCAAGTTTGTGTATTTTCTCTAAAACATGATGTTGGTGCTCACCAATGCAGCCCTTCACGTATGTCTTTACAGTAATCTCCTTACTCGGATCAGCCCTATTCGGTTACACCATTTGAATAGCTGCCACACACTCCATTAAATATCCTTTTCATTCTGTTCAGCTGTCTTAATGTTCCACCAATCTCAGGAAGAGACTTATCCTCCTCTGATCTATTGCTTCTATCAGATGTGCTGGCAAACGCCTGGATTCATCTCTGTTAACCTCTTGCCTCTATGATGGATTGCTGCATGAAAAGCCCTTTGAGTCACAGCGAAGTACAGTATTCGTGACAGACGTGGTATGAATCAAATAAGTAATTTATTTTTAAATAGCCCTGGATATTTTGAATTTGACCCCAGTTATCCTTGTTAACTCCCAGAAGATTTATGCCCGGCGAGGTTTGTTTTAAAGAACTTTTGTAAAAGTTCAATCCATTCACTCATGTAAAAGCACAATCACAGGGCACTTTTATTGCATTAAAAAAATCTATTGGTGCAGCACTCGTCGCCCAAGATGCGTCTGTGATACGAGAGCTTGTAAAATGTTTCAGCCTATTTTTTGACAGTGGGAGTTGGAGTCGAGCAAAACACAAAGTGTCAGAGAAAATGGCCCACCCAACAGGACAAAGTGAAATCCAAACTGCAGAACATCCTTATCTGTAAGCAAGGCTGTGGATTAGACTGCTTTTCCCCGAGAAATCAGATCACAAGTACAATAAATAGAGAAAAAAACGTATTTCTTTTACTCGTATTTAATAAAGTGTGGCGGAGTTGAATTTCACATCAGTGACCAATTGAGGTGAAGTGACCATGTGCCAGGCGATTTATGCAGCAGAGATATCGAATTTTATTTCACAGATGTTAGTGAATTAGAAAAATCCTTATTGTATAATGATTCAGTAACTATTAACCTAGTTCAATGCAGAATTTTCAGGACTAAATAACCAATGAATAAAAGCTCATTATGAATCTGAATTGCGGATTGTGTTAACTGTGTGGACAGAAGGTAATTATAAGGTGCCTTGATTTTCCTAATAAACCATCACTGAGACCCAATTTTATCTTTGAATGAATGTAAATAGCAGATTGTATGCATGTAATAATCCCTCCCCCCAAAAATAATAATTTGTTCACTCAATCCGCGACTGTTTGTGGGACGCTGCTGTGCAAATACTTCAGCCACGTTTCACCCACAAAATACACAGTCAATTCATTTTGCGGTATATTCTGTGAAGCTCTTTAAGACATCTCAACGACGTGATAAGGAGCTATATCAAATGCAAATTATTATGATTGTGTCTTTGTCAATGCTTATCATTCTTGAATAGGTATCACATTGGCTAGTTCTATTTGGTGTTTTATGTTGGTCGCGAAGACTTATATTTGAATAAAACACACTCTACTGTGCGTGCAATGCTCTGCCCCAGGAGCTACGCATTCTCTTTCCAAACACACCAATTAAGTCTGTAACTTTTTGACAACTTTCTGCACAAAGCCTTCGGACCCATTGAGAATCACTGTATCACCTGTGAAAAGTAAAAATCTACAATTAATGTCACAGTCTATCAAAGCGCACTGGAAACATTTTCTATTCTCACTTGTGCACAAAGTGTAACTTTCCTTATTATGTGGAACGGGAGCCACACGGAGACTCAGTTTTGATTTTGCCCGGATGTAAATAGCACACTATATGCATTTCCTTTTCTGCAAGAGACTGGGTCTAGGTCTCTGCCTTGGTAATCAAGATGGAATTCAAGACCAAGTCAAATGGAAATACAATAAAGCATCATTTGGGGTGTAATTCTCCGACTGTTAAAATGCCTTTGTGATGGAGAAAGGCTGATACAGTAGTAATAGCAGGTGGAGATGTGAAGGTAATCAGTTCTAGTTCCACACTGTTGAAGTGGAGCAGCTACACTTTGGGAGGTATAACAATTTTATAGCTAAGTGCTCCGAGGTGCAGCCCCGGGTGAAGGGCGCTAAATAACAGCAAGTTGTTGTTGTCGTCGTTGTCTGTGCTACGCTTACCTGATTTGAAGAAGTTTGTTGCATTTCTGCAGTTCACAATGCATGGCAGCCCGTACTCACGTGCCACTACAGCACCTTTGCAGAGCAGAAGAGAAAAATAGTCATTCTTTTAAATAAAAAATCGTGTTTCCTGGTCAGGTATCAAGGGAGGATGGTGTCGAAAATAGAAACATTGAGAATGGGCTCCAAATTTGCGGTATTACTTAACAGATCCTTCATAAGGAATGTATAACTATCAATGGTAAAAATACCAGTCAGTGTTATACACATTATCTTTGCCAATCTTGGACACCAAAGGCATTTCTCACTAGAGTTGCGTGTCACCGATGGTGCAACATGTAACTTAAACTGAATTTTTTACCCCCAATTAAAACTTCGAGACTTAAGCACATTTGCACAGTTATAAAACAGCAGAAGCGAGGGGAACACCTGATTTTAAAGATTAGCCTCTGACTATAAATCAGACAAAGTGGTTAGTCCCGAATAGCAATTTGGTGATTTATTTTATCAGGTTGTAATGGCAATGATGTTTTTCTTGCTAACTTTGAGTCATTATTATGAATAATTCTTCAGAGTTCCTACCGTGTGACAAGAGGCCTCCAAGCTCAGTGACGAGCCCGCCCAACAGTGGGAAATATGGGCTCCAGCCAACGTCTGTACTGGTTATGATTAAAATGTCTCCCTGCTGGATGCAGCGAGTCTCCATGGTAGTTTTCACAACATGAGCTGTTCCCTCGACAATCCCTTGGCTGATCGTCATACCTGTAATAAAGGGACACCATAAATCTTCACATCAAAGAGCTCTCCCAATGTTGGTCATGATATGCCAACGCCCAATGTCAGACAGATGGGTCAGATGTTCTTTGATGTGCCAATAGACTGTGCCACCGAACTCTAGAATGGATTTGTGCTCTGTTTCCCAACAATGAGTCCCAGCTGCAGCATTTTGAGACAAAAGATTACTGAGCGCAAGTTCATGCAGTGTCCCCATTGAGACGGAAGAGGAATCAAATGAGCAGATTACAACCGGTGGAAAGTTGGGAGGCGGACAGACCACTGTATATTGGATAAAGAATTGCTCTGTGCACTGCCTACAAAATACAGTCACTACACTTTACACTAAATCCTGTGAAGCACTTTCTGACATCTCAGCAATGTGACAAGAGGCTATTATCGAATGCAAGGATTCTTATAAAAAGGAGGAAAACAGCACAAGAGATAATGCTGATGTTGTTTGTACTATGAACGCATTATCCTGGAGGCTGGGTGGTTCTTAATGGTAACGTGATGATAGCAAGTCATTTTAGGTGGGTTGACGCAGGGCAGAGAATGAGGGTAGAATTCCACTTGGTCCTACGATCCTTGATGGGGCAAATCATATCCGTAACCATTGTTCCGTAGAAGTTCTTTTAATAACAGAAACACATATTAATCCAAATCCTTCAGGGCCCACTTACCTCTCAGTGTAAAACCTTCTCCAATTACATGTATTGCGCTATTGTTGCGAGGGATAGGCTTCCCAATATTTATCTCTTCAAACTGTAGAGCCATCTGCTTCACCAGCAGTCTCCTCCGACTCTGAGCTCTGTATAAAGCACAATAGTTTTACTTTAAAAACTAACATTAGGGAAGCCTTTTACTTTCACGGAACCCGCGATGACATTTGTCGGTGTGTCTGGCTCAGTTGGTAGCACTCTCGCCTCTGAGTCAAGAGAAGGGAGTTTCTCTCTCCCAGTGTCCTGGCCAACGATCCTCCAGATTAAACTGGTCATTCACTTCATGGTTGTTTGTGGGACATTCCTGTGAGGAATTGGTCTACGCCTACAAACACACAGTCAATACAATTCACAGTAAATCGTGTGAAGCACTTTAAGACAAATCCCAAAGCCGAAAGGCGCTTCATCAAATGCAAGGATTATTATTTGTAGTAGTAAGATCATTAACAGTCACTACAAACGCTAAAGTCAATGCCACAATATACATCCTAATAGATGCATCTCACTATGTTTAGCCAGTTTATCAAACTCTAGGCTAGTGGAATTCTCCCATACCTGAGGATCAGGGCTGGTGATCTGTAAAGAAGCACCTTTCTGATTTCCAAGTGGGACAAGAAGAAAAGTAAGTCCACATCAGGCAGTAATCCCTGAAATATAAGAGCACAATCAACAATCAGGGGGTCTGGGAATCTAACATTCAATTCAATGCCTTGCAAATACAAACCCAGAAACAAAAGGCTGTGCAATCAGATGCCCAAAATTTCTCATTATCTTTGCCTTTAAACCTTAAGAAAAAGCTGGAGAAAAGTTTCCAAACTCTGACAGAATTTGAGAAGTTTCAAAATTTCTGTACAACTGTGTTATTAAAGACTTCAGCTTAAGAACATGATATATTTCATACCTCCAGTGTATAAATCACACTTACATCTGTGTTTTAATGCCCCTAATAGGGAACAAAGTAACTATATATTAAAATGCCATACAGTCCAGGTTTTTGAAAGTACTGTATTTATTCTACACCTTTTAAGGTTTTAGAAAACAGCTTTCACATTGTAACAAAAATATTATTTTTACGATAGCAGGTTCATTTGTGATATTTACAGACTGAATTTGTTGCATTCACAGTGGCTTCCATTTATTTTTACAATAATATTTGCAAACTTGTTAAACTGAGTGTGAGCAGTCGGGTTGGCAACCATTGCAGAACGGGATGTTCTGTTCAGTAAAGTTCTACTTATTCAACACTTGTACTGCCATCCTTAGCAACTGTTAAAAGTACCTTTGCTGTATTACAAAATACAATACAAAACTACAATCCTTTCACGTTGGGAGGACGTCCCAAGGCGCTGTATATTGCAGCATACAATATGCAGGGCAACACTGACTACTTCTGTGAAGTGCTTAGAGACATCTTGAAGATGTGATAAGGCGCTATATCAAATGCAAGGATTATTATTATTATATTATTACTCACCTCCTGCACCATTAGCTGAGCCAGATGGCAGAAGGCTATCTTAAACTTATCATTCGTCTGCACTGCGGCAGATTTTGATAGTTCTCTGCTGGCGACAGCTTTTCTCGCCTTCGGCAGCACCCAGCTGAGAATTAGCCTAAAGCAGGAAGAAAGGTTAAATGATGTTGCTTTAGTTAAACGTGGTGCTTTAGTTTAATTTAGTTTATCCACCCCCGGAACACCATCCCACAGTCCCTCCGCCTCGCCCTCCTCCCTTGCCTCCTTCAAGACCCGTCGCAAGACCCTGCTCTTCGCCGGTGCCTTCAGTCACCCTCCTACCCCATCCTCCCCGCCCGCCACCCCTCCTGATCCCAACCCCCAGCTCGAGTGCAGATCTCTGACTGTCCAGCGCCTCGGGATGTCCTCCTGACGTGAAAGGCGCTATACAAATGTAATTTGCTGTTGTTGTGTACGAGAACGTGGCATACTTTCCCAGCCATGTGATGGGTGACTTTATGGAAGCTATGGCTTCTTCCGGAGACAATGCCAGCTTCTTGCTGCGGGCTTTGCTGCTTTGCAAGGCGGCTTGAATGGCGGGAATAACTTTAGCTGGTTCACTCGCCCATGACTTTTCACGCAGTTCAGCCTTGAAGACATTTTTGAACCAGTTATCAACTTTTTTTAAAGAAAAGGAAACAGGGCAAACTGTTAGATATTATTCTTGTAACAGTGAAGCATTGATATCAATGCTACTGCCTTAATGTTTGCCTTGACAAACGGTCGTGACAGTTGTGAACAATTAGGTGCAATGCGCTTTGAGATGTTTCAACGGGGAATAAGACAACAAAATGAATTAATCTCTGGGTCCTGGCCAACAAATTGGTGGCTCACTTCTGGGCTATTCATGAGACCTTCTCCAGTAAAATATACTCCATCTCCATTAAGACAGTTATAGTCTTAGTTGTTTCTTTTCCGCGAGCGTTGCTTCAGGATGGAAGCATTCTGATGGATACGGAAACTTGTTGAGCCTGTGCCTTCCAGGGTCTTTCTGCATTAGCCGAGGTGCTCCATCTGGTGGCCGAAACCCAGTCATTGGTGAGCCAGAGAGCGTTATCAAACAAGAACATCTCTGACGTGTGCTCCACCTCTTACCGCAAGCGCTGACTTCAATGTTTATAGACGGCAGCCAAAAGGACACAACAAACATCAAAAATCAGCACAAAGATGGTGCGTTCAAGTTCACATCGAAAGGTTATAGGACGGAGAAGTGCGGTTTCTGATAAGCCCTTGGTAGGCAATCGCAAGGCGTAGATTAAGAAAGCAAGTAAATCTATCCTACATTTATCCAGAAAGACGGCTAAACTGGACACAGAAGTTAAAGGAAAAACACAATAGCAGTGTATTCATGAAATAATAGTTTGGGAATGGGAACTATTGATGTCTGTTTCTATCTATTTATTTATCTTTCCATTTTTTTCTGTCTTTATTTATTGGCGTTTTTATTGTAAAGGAGCAAGTCACACGCCCAAGTGTGGTCGTCCTACATTCAAAATGGAAAGACTCTCAAGCAAGAGAAGCAAAATTATTCTAATTGCAAGATCAGCTTGTGCACTAAGCGACGGGAGCAAAAATAAAATAGTACTGGGAACTACAGAGATGTACAAGTAAGGCAAAGGATACCAGCAGGCTTATCTCCACCCACAAATGTCCTAGGAGAATGTAAATTTATTATTTTCTTTTCAAACCGTGCCAAAGTATGCAAACAGTGGATTGATATATTTATGCACGGCAATAACTCGCAGCGTTATTACCAGGAATTGAAAACATTTGAACTCAATCTGCGCTGTGACAATAAACCTACCTCCCGGAGGCAGCGATAACCGTGCTTCTGCAGAAAGTTTTGGAATTTCTGACCGGCCTCCCCACTTTCCTGAGACAGCAACCAGGATACAGCAGTCTGGAGACAGGGAAGTCAGGACATTTACCCACATTCATAATCAAAGGGCAATACTGAGCTTCAAACGTGTTTAAAGCTTGATTAGTTAGACCAGCGGCAAACATTAACAGTATATCATAAAACTTTCATGACTATTGTTTCCTTATGCTCATGCTTTCCAGCTGAAATGCAGTCGTGCTAAACATCCTCGGAATGAGAATACGCTTGTGGTGAATCCAAATTCCCTTCATCCAATCTTTCCCAGTAAGCTGGCAGAATGGCTCCTTCTCTAAACGGGTTAGCAAAATTAAGCCGAGAACAAGGCTTTCCAATAGGCCAAACGCAACTGGACAACAACTTGGATTTACAATTTGGATTTATGTAGCGCCCTCCACGCCGGACAGCGACTCAGAGCGCTTCACAATAACGGTTCCCAGGGTCGAGCCGGGGGGAGGGGGAAGGATGGTGACCAAATGCATGATCAAAAAGAAAGGTCTTTAGTCGAGACCTGAAAATAGGAAGAGAGGGGGCGAGGCGAAGGGAATGGGGAAGGGAGTTCCAGAGCCTCAGGACATAGTGGCTGAAGGCACGGCCACCGATGGTGGAGCGGAGGATTCGCGGGACAAGGAGGAGGCCAGACCCGGTGGAGCAAAGGCAACGGGCACTGTTGTGAGGAGAGAGGTCAGAGAGGTCGGGGGGTTGCAGAGGAGTGGAGGGATTTGAAAACAAGAGTGAGGATCTTGAAGTTGATCCTCTCTGGGACAGGCAGCCAGTGCAGGACTGGGATAATCGGGGAGCGGAGTTTGGTGCCGGTAAGAACTCGAGAGGCAGAGTTCTGAATGAACTGGATTTTATGAATGGTAGTGGAGGGGAGACCGGCGAGGAGGGCATTTGAACAGTCCAGCCGAGAGGTGACAAAGGCATGGACCAGGGTTTCAGCTGCTTTTGGGGTGAGATATTGGCAAAGACTGGCGATGTGTCGGAGATGGAAGAAACCGGTGCTGGTGAGGGACCGGATGTGGGGGAGGAAGGATAATTGGGGTCGAACCTGACGCCTAGGTTGCGTCCAAGTTTTAGTGGGAAGTCGGGTAGGTGGAGGAGGGTTTAAGATTTAAGATGTTGACGTTGATGAGAGCCATAGAGTATGGCTTCTGTCTTGTCAACATTTAACTGAAGAAATTTCGTGCTCATCCAGTTCCTGATGTCTGACAGGCAGGCTGACAGAACATCAGGGGCCTGGAGGTCACAAAGTGAGGTGGAAAAATAGAGTTGGGTGTTGTCCGGATACATGTAGGCTTTGTTTGTGAGGGAACGGACATTTTGAAGGGAAATGCGGGTGGGTTTTCTGGTGGGAGGAGATGGAAGAGAGAGTGATACGGAGAGGATTTTTGAACAAGACAGCACAAGATCAGGTTGAAAAGGGGCAATTTTAGGAAAGACACCAGGAAGTATTTTCCTTACATGGAGATTCATCAACAAATGGAACAGGAAGAGTGGTTACTTCCAGGAAACTGGAATCATTTAAGAAACAGCTTGAAGTAAGGGGAGGTTGGTATGGTGGGTATTCTGGAAAGCGGAGATTAAATGGGCCAAAGGGACTTCTTTGTCTGAATCACCTGTGATTTTGTGAATACTGATAGTAGGTGTTGTCATTAGCCACAGGCTTACTTCTGTTTTACTTCAGGTAATACTAAAACTCTCACTCTCACTTCTGGTCCAGCAAATATGTCATTCCAAATGTCCTACAGGATAAAGTTGGTACTGAACTAAATGTATGACCATTACCATTACTCCTCACCTGAGCATTCATATTCACAAACTCAGCAGTCTTCCCTTGCTTTTTGATTGCTTCTGTGACCGCCTGTGATAGAGCAAAACAAATGCACACAAAAATGACATGGAGGGGTTTTATAAATGGGTTTTGAAAACACAGAGGTAGAGAAAGAGAGAGACAGAGGGTGAGAGATGGTGGGAGCAGGGTAAAGCGATTTAGGGAGCGGGTTTCAGAGAGAATGGGCAAAGATATTATTTCGGTCTGTGTTGGAGGGATAAAGTTTGAATTTTTTAAAGAATTTTCTTACCTCCAGCAATGTTGGCATGTCAGCAGACAGGATATCAGGACATGTGCTGTACAGCTTTGCAACGTCAGCCAACAGTTTAGGGGTCCACACTGAAATAATATATTATTCTAGGTATAAGTCCTAATTTGTTTGCTTATCAGTGTTAGACAGTGTTTAACAGTGCTGGACAAACTATTTTACTATCTCTTCAACTCAATGAAGAGCTTTGTTTTCACATGGTTCCCTTCAGCTAGTTCTCTGAGCAAGATTTCAGACTGGCTGTTCATGATCGGTTATGTGAGGTTCACTTATAACAAGGGAAGCAGTATCTATTGCATCTAATTTGATCGTTAGAGACTTGGTCATTAGTTTCTTACTTGACTTTCCGTTGGACAATATAGATGTGACGATTGTGCTCCAAATCCCTGATCTGGAGCCCAGTGCCATTGATGCAGCCCAACCCTAAATAAATCAAAGTATTACACACGCAGGCACAGAACAGCAGTTTCAGCGGCTTCCGAAACAGGGATGATGGGGAGCACGGAGCTGGGAAGAGATAGGGGGAGATTTAACCAAAGGCACAGACAAAGAGAGAGGTCATGTAACATGGTGCGCACCAGTAACTTACCTCATAGAACAATGGCAGCAGCTGATCAATGTTGAAGTAAAACTCTTTTGCCCCATTTGCAAGCGGGATCTGGAAAGTTTCCAAATTTTTCAGTATTGCCTTCACTCTGGATTCAGCATTGAACAAATACTGCAAGTGATTCAATCCAAAACTCTGTGTTATTTGCATATTCAGAACTGATGTAAATGATCAGCTAAAGATTGCAAAACAACTGATTTTTTATTCAAGTCAAGTTATTTTAGTTATTCAGCTTCCGTCCCAATTTCAGTACTTTGAAGCGCATGTATCAGCACAAAATAAATTGTAGATCACTAACGTTAAGATTAACAATTTAATGATGAATAATGTCTTGGTTTGTTTTCACGAACCACAATTCCTGATCAAGTCACTTTCATTCCAGCCAACATGTCTGTGTCGTATTCCACATGTTCAGCACTATCATTGCATTAGGAATCAGGATCCTCAGAGCCGTGAGAGTAATTTAAGTATCATATGCTAATTAACATTTCCCAAAGGGGAATGAATGATCTGTGACAGCTTCTGGTAATATTTATCATCTTCCTGCCTATTTTTATCATATTAATAAAAGGGAAATTGGAATAATTAGAACGCTATATTAATTACAGTGTGATCCGTTTGATCTGTTCCTCTATGGCAAGTATCAATCTGAAAGGTTTAATCTTCAAGCTATGGCTGTGCCAGTGAGGCGATGCTGAACTGAACACCATTGGAGGGGCACCATATCCCACTTTCTTTCACTGTGACGAGAGAAATTGTTGCAGCAAAGGGAAATGTTTACATTCTATTGAATGCTACAAGACTGCAGGTTTTCATGAATATTTAAGAACAACGCTTGTAGAGATCTTCCTATACAGGCTCAGTGTGCAGAGTTGCATTTGATAGATACAGTCTACTGGCATTCCCAACTAATATTATTATATCCAGTACCCTAGATTAATAATTAACTACAAAGTGAATTTACCGTTCCCATGGCAGAAAAAAGGTTGTTACAAATATTACCTTTAGAAGAGTAAAGCTATTAAGAATCCTTTTCCACAAGGATGATGCTCCATGGATTAAAGCGAGATCATGAATGGTTAGTTCCTGCAGCTCCTAGTCGATGAAAATAAATGTTCGATTACATTCACAACTAAGGATCTGACATTAGGAACTGTTATCTGTGACCCATGTGTCAATGAATCATATGAAAGGCCACATTTCACTTGATTCTCAAACGCAGGTTATATCACTGAACTAGCTTTAGTTTCCTTGCTAATTTTCTTTCTCTCTACTATTTTCCTTCTGTCCCCTATTCTCCACCCCTGATTGCAAACATGGCATTCCTGAGCGATCGTTGCGCTCTGGTTGCCTAGCTAACCATTTTCCCCGGCTCCCTGCTCGGGGCTCACACTCCATTGCTGTCAAGCTCTTGGGAAAAGTTTTCCCGTTGCGTAAGTGCAAGCCGTAGTTACGTGGCCTATAGGGTACAGCTCAGGAATCACTGGAGCAGATTCTGGGTCTAAAGTTTAAGGGTTAATTTATTTTCGTGACCCGGCGGTGAAGTGAGGACTGACACAAATCTTGTACAAAAATATAGATGTTTATTAATTCAGATTATTAATGGTTATAAGTAATTAAAAGAATACATCCAATTATGTTTACGTATCTACGTATACTGTAGTTCACAACGATTTAAGTTGACCAAACCAAATGCTGCGGCAGAGTGGGAAAGTGATCTGGATCACTACAATCTAGTCCCAGACCAAATGTTTGATTGAATGCTTCCCATAATCTGTCTATGTAACATTTGGGATGTTCTTTACAGATCCAGAAGTGTTCAAATACCGAACACTTTACAGAAAGGTGACACAGAGTGATTATTAGCCATTCCCTACCATCCTATGAGGCTAGTTTCGAAGAAGATCCTTGCTCAAGGAAGCGAAACGAAAGCCTGTTTATAAACAACAAACTGTTTTCATTCCTTATCAGTCATTTACTTATGGAAAAATGGTCTGAAGCTGGAGAGAGCTATGCTGCATTTGTTTTTGCAAAGGAACCATCTTGCAAAAGACAATAGGTGAAAGGTCACCCAATGAGCTGTATAAACGGAGATCGATTCGAAAGAGAAAGAGAAAAGAAAGGAATTGGAACTTGGAGTTGTGAACCATATTCCAGCTTCTAAAGAAGGAACAAGACTAGGTTTTAAACAACACTAAACGTGCAATAATATCTGCATACTTTTGGGTGATATCGAACTGGAAACCGTACAACAATACTTGGATACCTTTTGAGGACTTATATTTGGATTCAAATGGGACATTAAATTGGACATTGCTCCTCTACCTCTCCCGCAACATTTGGTTTGGTCAATTTACGTGGATACTTGGATACATAAGCATAATTGAATGTATTATTTTAATTACTTTTTAGTGTTATTAATCTGAATTAATAAACATTGATTAATTGTGCAACATTTGTGTCAGTCCTTACTTCACTGCAGGGTCATGAAAATAAATGAACCCTAACAAGAGGGAGCTGAAGCACATTGCGATCCCTTATCAGTTGAAATCAGTCAACTTGGCATAGACCAGAGAGCTAGGACTTGAGGACTTGGTGCGCCCTGCATGGGTCAGCTACCTACTGATCAACTAGTTTGATACAATAGCTCACCCTTCCTAATAGCGCAAGCTCGCTTATCTTCTTCTTGGTGATTAAGTTGTTCTGTTCATACATGCTCCCGAGGTCCTGCGATAGAAGGGAAAAGCAATGTTCAGTTATTTGCCTAACGTACACAGTCAACAACAACAACTTGCATTTATACAGCACCCCCTTAATGCAGTTTAGCATCCCAGACTCACTGTGCACAGCAGTAATTACCTGCTACAGAAGTTTCAACATTGCATAAATGTAATACGTTCGGTTTTTGGCTTTTGCAGGAATAGTTAGTGCTTCAAAAGTGTACAGTCAAAGTATGATTTTTCCTCTCCCAATTAATGCTACAGCAGTGCAACACACTGAACTAGCTGGATGAAATGGACAGTCGGTTCAGTTGTGAGGGGACATTCCAAACTATTCACTTTCTTCTTTTAAAGAGTTAATTTGGAATGCAGCTGCAACAAGAACTCACCTCTACAATACAATTCATACTTATATAGTGCCTGCCATGTCGGGAGAACGTCCCAATGAACTCAACATTAAACCAGGATGAAACCTACCGTCAGGTTAATGAACAGATGGGTGCAGCACACCGCAATAGCCTTGCTGTTGTATGGTGCGAAGCAAGTCTTTCCTCCACTTTTGATGGTCAAATCCTAAACAATGACACGGCATAACTGCAACAGTTAGTCGATAGCTTCATTTTCTTAAAATAGGCACATTAACCAGAACCTCAGCCTCCTTTGAGGAAATCAATATTTTACCTCGGAAAACCAAACATGTGTCATTATTGAAGTCCTGGGAGGTCAGTTCCTAATCAAGAGTGCACCATACTGCTGAGTACGCAGCATGCCTCTCTTACATACCATCTCAGATCCACTTCCACATTTTATCACCTTTAAAGTACATGCAAATCAAATTATCCCCATAATTTGCCATCTCCCTAGATCACTTAAACAGACGTTGGGTGAGCTTGCTGCGAATTTGGAGCTCTGTAAAACTTGGCGCTGTGTGTTTTACTACCACTCCCAGAATACACTGTCATTGTCTGGGGAAAACATGGCTCAACACTAGGACAGAAAGGCCTGGGAGCAGATGCTTCGGGCTGCTGAACGATACGAAGCGCAAGCAAGCCTGGGTGTTTATCTGTCAAGACTGGGCTAATTGCCTCATCACAAAAAAGAGAGGATCATAAAATTCACTATCTTGCTGAGCAGTAGCACTGGAGAATTAGTATTTTACTCCCAATGTTCAGTCTCTTTTGGAACGCAGTAGCATTGGTGAATCACAAATGTGAACATTGTGGAGCGTCAACAAACTCACCTGGATTCCATATTCAATGGCTCTGACAAGCAGACTGCAAGTCAAAGGTGTAACAGCTCCTGGCATCATTTCACTGCAACATCCAAGACAAATATAGGTTGTAAAGTGGACGTGACTTCAAAACCACTTATTTAGCAAGTAAACTGTTTTTCTGCGTGACTTTCAATTGGCCTCTAGCTCTACCCATTACATCAGATATGAAGGTTAGAACAGTGTCAACTAGTGTTAGGCCAGGCACAGACACATTATAAACTGGACTACTGTGTAGTGCGATGCGAGCAGTCTCTTGGAAGGAAATGTTCTGCCTTGTGTTAGAAATCTGGTAGTAGTTGCCGACAAATCTTTAGGTTTAACGTTGGGAGTAAAATCTGAAAAATATGTTCAGCCCACTGCATATAAAATTTCAACAATAACTCGCACTTAGACACCGCCTTTCACACAGGATAGCATCCCAAAGTCCTATATTGTGTCGGTGTAGGACTCCAAACAAGGGGGGATGGGGAGGTGAATGTTGGAGGTTGTAGAATTGAATGTATTGTAAGTCAATATATCTTTGGTACAACGTTAAAAAAAACTTTTGTTTTTGTAATTCTGGCTTTGCTGAGATAGGAGCAGAACTTTTGAACTCTTGCAGCATCAGTTGTTGATGATCAAGGAACGACACTAAGATGTAATATATAATGAGCGTGGGACCCTTTGAAAGAGTGAACTCTGAAATAACACTGATTTGATTAATCACAGTGGCTTGGGTTAGTAAAACGGAACATGAGGGAAAGTACAATCCCATCGCATACCCGATGTTGCAGGTTGTCAGCCATTCAAAGTCTGAGGTCAACGCTGAGTCAAATTCATGCATCAGTTCAAACTCAGACGGAATGTCAAGTGTTGTTATAGGCCTGGCCTGATAAATTAAACATTGTGTAAAGAAGAGAGGGTTAGGAACAATAGATATGGCTAAAAAGGTAGGTCTTCAGGTTGAATTTTTAGCTCCACTAGCTATTCTTGGTCTCGGACATGTTGTAAACCAGGAAATTTATTTGATGCAACTATGCACTGCCCATCCTTGTAAAGGGTATTTACAGGAGTTAGGTGAGCCATAGCGAGGTTATATGGAATCGGAGACTTGTAAATGGAGCTTTTCTGTGTTTTATCCCCAATTTTCTCGCTTGCTCTCCTGAAGCCAATTGTTACTCAGTCTGGAGAGTGATTTTTTCTACAACTGCTGAGAGTCCAGTATAAAGGACTGGTCTTCACATCTGCCGACTTTAGACGTCAGCTCTTGGAGGTATTGCACTGGTGGGCATTGTGTAAACTTGTGCTGATTGAATGGCAATAGTGTGTGAGTGTCATCAAAAAAAAAGCGGCAACGATTCCATTTTAGCAAAAGAAAATAAACGGAATGTGAAACAAAACAAATTTGCAACATCAACATCAACAGGTGCTGATTTTGTACGCGCATAATACCTGCAGCAAATAAATATTTGCGTCTTTTATTGCCCACTCGATGTCTCTTGAGCTCCCGTAAGCTTTTTCTACCTGATGTGTTAGGAGAAAGTTGTATCAAATCAGTACGGACTTCAGCCTTTTAAATGATGTTAATGTCGTTTAAATGTTTACTGGCGATTTTTTTTGCTCGAATGTCTCATGTAATTTCTGGGTGCAACATTGATATTTTATGAATAAGCCATTTTGCTTTTGTGCCAAATCCCTTCCGCGTCAAGCTGAATAAATGTATATATGGACGTGTATTACAGAAAATATAAAAAGGATAAATTCAGATCAAAATAGGCCCGGAATGGAATATAATCGGTGGAATATCACAAACCCGAAGGGCTATTTGGCTTAATCTCAGAATGACGTCATCGGTTATACAGCAGGGTTCATCTTGTGAAGAAGAAATCTCTTCATGGAGAATGCCCCAATCATCTGGAATTGTATATTAAAGAAAACTCAAAGCAATTCTATTGGATCTTCAGAAAAAAAAATTCCATTGGAAACTTTTATCCCAACTTTTTTTGTAACAAAGTCCTGGCTTGAAACTCCCACCTCCCAAGGAGTGAGGTGATGACTGTCTATCCCTGATACCCACCTGTCTGTAGCAGCTGATGCGTTTTTGCTCCAATGTCTTTCCTGATGATCTGACACTGTCCTTTCACACTGCGAGACAGGGTGATGCTGTCAGGCTCTGTCATGCCACTCACCACAGACTTGGAATTGAATAAAGAGACATTGGAAACCGTTACGGCATAACCTGTTTTCCTTATATTAATAATAATAACAATCCTTGCATTTGATATAGCTCCTTATCGCGTTTTCGAGACTTCTCAAATCGCTTCACAGGATACACTGTTAATTGTAGTGACTGTGTTTTGTGGGCGAAACAGCAATTTGTGGGCGAAATTCCACTTAAATATAAAATGCTGTTACAATTCTTTGCTGGGTTTCCACATTTGTTGCCGTCACATTTTGCCCCCTGGTATACTGGAATATCTCACCTCTCCCAGGCCATAATTGGCATTGATAACCATTCTGCCTGGATGTCCATTGACAGGATCGCAGGTGAACAGCACGCCTGCAATCAACATGGTGAAATAGGCATTAGAGCAAAATAGCATATCCCAGGCACAACTTGCTTTCGCGCCTTGAATCTCCGCTCTCTGATTTTACAGTCACTCTATAAATCCGTTTCCACTCTGGAGATCAGATTTTGGTTGAGATAAATAAATACGATACAAATGATTTTTTTTGTGTCACGTCAATCATTCCTCTCTAGCACTGTCCCTGTGTTATTTTCCCTAATAGGGCAAACTATTCTCATTCTGCCAGAATGGATCAGGCATTGTCCGTTTGATAAATATTCCCAATCATTCAGCCTTACCTGCTGCCTCAGCTGGTACCATCCGCTGAATAACTACACCCATCGTTGAAGGCACTGGCTGCCCCCGCTGGCTGCGATATTGCACTGCTTGGAATGAGTACAGAGAGGCCCAACATTTCTGCACACCTTCAGTTATCTGTGTGCGATTGAGACACTTGGTCAATTTGGTGTTGAAATCATAAAAAGTCCAGATGCATTATATTAAAAAAATTAATAAAGATGATAATCCTTGCATTCGATATAGCGCCTTATCCACGAGGTCGAGACGTCTCAAAGCTTTTCACAGAGTTTTACTATCTACAATAGTGACTCTGTATGTTGTAGGCAGACGCAGCAGCCAAATTGCATGTGGCTACTTTTTCCCTTGAACTCTGCACGACAGCAACAGTGAATAATTCATCAGTTTCTACATTGGAACAAGGGACCTCCAGGGAACTCCAGTTAGCTTCTATCTTTTGCTTTCTACTCTACATCCCAGGATAGCCATTCTTTAATTTTTCTATTACTGTTTTCTAAGATGACAGTGATAACAAGTTGCACTTGTGTGGATTACATTCACGTTAAAAAAATATTTTTACCTAAATAAAACTGATTTGAGGTGAAACTGAATGTTGTTGTCCGGGCTAGAAGAGCAGTTAATCTGTGGCAGAGATGTCCCACGAGCAACGAGATAAACAGGAAATGAATTTGAATTCGGGGAGATATTTGGACGAGGAAGGAATATAAACAAGGATAACCAGGAGAAAGACTCTTAACATTTTTTTCTGAAAACAACAGCGGGCAGGTGGTCCCTTTAAATCCACATGAATCACAAGGCAGGTTTTGTCTTAAAATGTAATTATAATAAATCCTTTGAAGTGCTTTGAGACATCTCGATAATGGGATAAGCTGCTACGTCCAATGCAAGCATTATTTTATTATTATTGTTATTGTTTAGCTTCCCTCCCATATACTCACACCCCCACAGGAATAGATAGCATTTGGATTTGCACGGTTCTCCATTGTTTGTTGGGTTGTTTTCCTGCAGTTTACCTGTCCAAAGCCTTTCAATCCCAACTCTGTGCTAAGCTGTCCTGCAGCAGACATATCCTCTGTATCCTCCCCAGTTGCACTGGATCTGACAACAAACCATTCCTCTGCTCCGAGTAGCTGAAGCTCAGACATACAACTGTGAATGGCAGTCTCTATCTCCGGAGCCAGTTTGGTGACTTTAAACAGTTCAACACACCTGTACAAACATAGTCGAGAGGTTTACTCACACGGACTTTTAAACAAAAAAGCTTAATTTTCCATGAAGGTAAAGGTTTACAGGTCAAATTAATTCAAACGTAAGACAATATAAGAAGGTTCTGATGTGGGGCTTCATGTGTCGGAGCTGAGCCCGTCTGAACACCTTGAATGTGTAAAAGGATAAACTTTGTGTGAAGCGATGCTTTCCGGAGTATCATCCGTTTGGAGGTTTATACAATCAGGGAATATCTCTTGAGGTCTATTATTATTTTTGTTCTACCTTCTGCACAGGTCCTGAAGCTCTCCTTGTTTTCGGGTGCTGTTGAAATAGACAGAAAAAAAAAGTACAAAAAAATAAATTGAAACAAAAAGGCTCCACTACCACTACATAAACCAAGAAGAAAATCAGAAGAATTGTACCATATCACAGCATCCAGCTCCTCCACGGCTTCCTGGAGACTGCTGTTCATTTTCATCTGGTGTTCTAGGGCTGTGATGGTGACACAGAGGCCTTCGGGCACACGAAACTGGCAGACAACAGCACAAAAAAAGACAATGATGTATCACCAGGTCCAAAGCTTCCTTGTTCGCACCGATACAGATACGTGGAGCCGGGAGCTGGGTTTTATTAGTTTAAAACACTCTGGGACACTGCCCTGCATGAGGGGCACTATTATAAAGCGGGCGAGAGTGGTGTGAAACGAGTCAAATAACACTCCTGGATCTCTCTCAGCTTCCCCCCTTTTACTTCTGATGCACATAATCATCAATCCAGCTCATTTTTATTTTTAAAAAATAACAAAAATCTCCAAACCCACTAATTTCTCAATCCGTTGCTTCAGAAAGCTTCCCTCTTATCACCCCAAATAAATCTATTTTTCCATTGTGGAAGCGAACGTGTTATATTGCCTTAAAGCCAAATTGAACAGTAACTCTCTCCTGTACATCTTGTGGCATCCTGCAGCATCCAGATATCAGTATCTCTTTGCGTGAACTTAACGAGAGCACAGCTCCAACCATGTCAAACAATCCACCTATCTGGAAAATTGAATGTCAAACCAAACTATACAAAAAGACAAAAAGAGGACAGGATAAAAACTGTGCAAGGTCATAACCTCAGGAAGTACAACTTCAACGCGTACAACTTCAACAGCCTCTCGCGATTTAGTTAGGCTCAATTATTACAAACATTCAACCAGAAGACCACAATCTTCTCAGGCACACACTTCTGAGGCCGGCACATCATGTTGTCTTAAAGTTTAATTTAAGAATTTGAAGAACTGCATAAAAAACATTCTCTGCGTTATCTTTTCAAAAAAAATTGTTTTAAACCAAGACACCATGATCTCTCTAAGGCTAGGAAGATAAAGGCGGAGATCATTCACAACAACAACAACAATATTACATTTGTATAGCGCCTTTTACGTCGGGAGGACGTCCCATTCGATTCATTCTGACGAACCTGATTTCCAAATCGCTTCTGCATCTCCGTCAGCTGTGCCAGCTGAGCACCTTTGCCACCCACCACTGTGGCACTTTGACATGATGGGTGAGAGAATGCCAATGCAAAACCACAGTGCGCTGGCACCACCACAGGTTCCCGAAACCTCGTAGCTGCAGTGAAGTCTGGAGCCTGTCGCCCGCTTTCATTTCTAACCGAAGGAAATTATTTCAAAGTGATTTTTTTAATATATATTACGGAATCTTTGAAAAGAGTGCATGGTAAACAGATGTATTATTTTACACAAAACGCTCACCTGAAGTGGAATTCCACTAAGCCCCGGCCGCGAATAGTTAAGTTCAAATGATAGTTGGCCATACATTCATGAATTCTGCCTTCCCAAGTCAATCCATTGTACACGACAGGGCAAGCACTTTTATCAATCGACACCCGGAGATCAAAGTATTTCCCATCTGTAATTAGGATAACAATTTAATATTGTATTAGATATACTGTGAGACGCAGCAGAATGATAGTCAATATAAGGTGTGATAATATCACTTGCAGATTGATGTTAAGTAACGTGTATCTGAAATTTAAACTCCAGAGTTTTCTCTCTGATCATCCTATCTATGGTATAGATTGTGCTTTATCCTCTGACTCTTTTCCATCAACATGGGAAGCGTTGGTAGTTCCCACTTTGCTCCATCAATAAACTCCTCTGCTCTTCATCAAACCCTATCCATTTGCTTGACAATTCCACTCCTGGTTCATCAATCTCCTTCAGGCCCCTTTCCTTCAGTGCCTGGATCCTCATAGTGCAATGACTGAAATGCTGAATCTTGATCTTCTCCAAGTCACTGATGGCACAAGGCAAATCTTGTTTCTTTCAATTCCCCGAAAGATATAGTTTCTTTACATCAATTTCGTCTTTCTCTGGTTATTATCATTGTACTAGGTGACCTGCTGTTATGAACCACCGTCCATTACCTGGGGCCTCAATTAAAAAAAAGCTACAGTCAAATGTTTGCTCTGTGCATTTACCTAAAATGTTTTCAGACATTTCCCAGTATTTCCCACAGAGCTGCCACCTGTCCTTTCATCTAGTAATGAACGGGATTGGGAAAGACCAACATGCGCAAAGCTGCCTCCTGAATCTCAGTGAAGTCGTCTCACCTGCTGTGAAGCTGATCCTGTACATGTCAGCAATAACTTCGTCATCAGCAATGTCTGCTAAAGAGATGTCTGACCAATCGATCCCAGCCTTCTTCCCATTAGGAAAAAGCACGTAACCTACAGTCAGGCTGGGAAAAGAACAGAGGCATTTGTTTATTTTCTGATTGGCTTATTGTTATTTATTGTTATTGTGAAGTGCTCTGAGATGCCGTCCGGCATGGAGGGCGCTATATAAATCCCAAGTTGTTGTTGTTGTTATATGTATATAGTACAGCAGAACCTTGTTACAGTGTGCTTCATAATAACGCTCATTCTCTTACAAGATGCGTTCCCTGTAGACTCCTCACAGCCTCGCAGGAGATGTCTCGAAGACTTGATAAGGTGCTATATCAAATGCAAGGAATATTATTATTGTTGTTATTATTATTATTATTATTATTACATTGAAATATTTTTGACTTCTGGACTGTCAGGTTACTGCCAACATCACTTCCAGCCTTCTGCCCCCGCAGAGAACCCAAGAAGGGCAACGGCATAACTGACAGGTTTTCAGTCCTGCAGTGTGATGATGTAGAAGTATTGAGCGACTACAGGGCCCTGATACAATAACTTGCATTTATAATAGACCCCCCTTCACGCGGGGTACTGTTTCAGAGACGGTTGGAATTTTATAACAAACTGCCACATGCGGCTACAAAATACGCAGTCACTTCACTTCACAGTATATTTCCTCTGAAGCTTTTTTGAGACGTTCTCCCGATATGAAAGGCGCTAGATCAAATGCAGAAATTATTGTTATAATGAGCTGCTATTATACATGGCACGTGTCCAGCTGAGACAGCATCAAATAATGTGTGTAAAACTACACGTTAAAATAATTTATTTCTGAAGCAGAAGAAGCTTTTGTTTGAAGGCAGCAATGTTGATCATTTCACTTGTTCAATAAAAAATGTGCTTTCAAAGGTGATCTATGATCCCTACATGAGAAACGACTAAAAATAGCTTCCAGCACAAGCCATAGTGCAAAGTGAGCAAGCACATTACTTACTGAGTGGTGGTCGCTGGAATGCAGACCAATGTGAAATTCACTGATAGTCCATTCTTGAGGAAAGAAAGATTAGGTAAATCATTGATCAATTTTTGTGTTCATATCACATTAAAGAACTCACTATTGACCCCTTATATAATGCCAAGGATTCTCTCATTTTAAACAGCTCCTTATTGAATCTTCTTAAAATGTTAAATATTTATGGCTTAAGTACATTTAATTAATTCAACTATTTGTAGAAGAAACGGACTGTTACCTTAAATGAAGTCACTGAAAATCCATCACAGTGGACTCTCCCATCCATACTTAATTTTCCTATCAGAATCATCTGCACCGAACCCATGATCCCACAATAATATTTTGTGATATTTCTAATAATCCAGGTGATGAAATGGTAAAGAAGTGCTAAACTAGGGATGTCTAACTCATCTGGCTACAAGGGCCATTTTAAGTTAACACTGGGCTAGTGGCTCTAAAGCCATATGTTTGGCATCCCTGTGCTAAACCTTTCTTATGATTGAGTGTTGGAGACCCAATAACCAAGATCAACTGTGTAGAAAACCATATTAAAACATCACCACTTACCTCAAAGTGTACAATAAATAATGCATATCGATACATATCAGCCCAAACCCTGATGCCTAAGGAAACACAATTAAAACGTAATCAGTGTAAATGCTTTTTGAATTTTAAAGATCATTAGGACGGTTATTCAATTATCCACACTTGTAAACACTGTAACCCCCTCCCCCTCAGTTTCCTATTGGATTTCTCAGAGATTTGATGATTTGAAGCACTTTTGCAGCAGTAAATAACCTGGGAATAAGTCTAAAAATATGTTTTCTTACCATAAGAATGGTCCCTCAGTCCTGTTAGAAGAAGTTCCTTTCTCTCATGTCCTTCAATTTCCACTTCCCCTACATACTGTCCCCACTGTTCATAGTGTGTATGTTGTTGATGATGCCTGGAGAGCGTGAAAAACTACATATCACACTTAGATTTGTCTAAGTTACCAAGTTCTCTGCACAAATGAGATGAACATCTTAAATATCAATTCAACGGAGTCTGGTAGTGGTCTACGGCAAGTACAAAGCTACATTTTTCTAATAAATTTCTACTTCAGCATTCTTCTTGCTTTCACTTCCTCAGGAAAATTTGGGTGAAATATGATGAATCAGATGCTGTTTTGACCAGATGCTGAGGGCCCTGCTGTTTTACGCATATTCATAATAATAATTATTATGATATTATGATATTATTATTATATTACACATAGTCAAAGAACACAGCTGCTTTGGCTATTCATAAGCAAATGCTTCTGGATGGAAAAATGCTCTACTCACACTTTTAGGCTGTCAAGCAACCTTTTATTCCACTTCTCCTTGGCAAACGCGTGAGCAAGTGCACTGGGATGGGAATCTATGTCAAAGTTGAACACAGGGGAAAAGCTTGTCCATCTGACAGAGAAATAAACAGGAAAATTCATTGCCTTTATTCCGTGCAACACATTTAATTGAATTGTGAGTTGATCCATGTTTTTGTTCTACACAATGTTTTCCTTTGGTAAGCCACGAGTTAGACTGGTAGTTACATGAGAAGAAAAGACTTTAGCCAAGATGGGATTCAAATTGAAATGCCTTTATTATATGAAATTTCAGATTCCCCAGCCTATACGTCTGGAACTCCCTCCATTTCAAACCCCCTCTATCTGTCTTCAAGGAAGCTAGGAAAGAAATCCAGGCTGACTCAGACATAACCGTTCAGGGAATAATTATTGAGCAGAGAAGGATGTTCTGGTATGTGAAGATTAGTTTCAGCGTTCCCAACCAAAACTCTGAAATCTCTATTTGAAAACTGTCCTATATCATTTTCCCTTATTTCACAAAAGCTAACGTGAAATGCAAATTCAAGACTGAGATAGATAGATTTCTTATTGCAAAAGGGATTAAGGGATATAATAATAATAATAATAATAATCCTTGCATTTGCTATAGCGCTGTTCACGTCTTCTAGACATCTCAAAGCGCTTCACAGAATATACTGTAAAGTAAATTGACTGTATATTTGTGGGCGAACGCGGCAGCCAATTGCGCACAGCAATGTCCCACAAACAGTCGTAGATTGAAAATGACCAATTTATTATTGTTTTTGGAGGGATTATTATTAGGCTCTGTGTGGAGTAAGGAAACTTGCCCAAGGTTTCGCCCACTGCCTGGAATTGAACTCAGGTCTCTCGCTTGCAAAGCGAGTGCTCTAACCACTGATATGGGGATAAGGCAGGGTCAGGGTTATTAGCTGGAGTTAGATTAGAAGATCAGCCATGATTGAAAAGCGGGGCAGGCTCGAAGGGCCAAGTGGCCTACTCCTGCTCTTACATGTCATGCCATATGACACACACAAGTCACGTAAATAACTAGACCAACATAAAAGTCAACTTGACATGTAGAAGATCCCCCTCCTCTTCATTCCACTTGGATCTGTAGGGTCCCTTCCTGCAAAACAAATATAGAAAACTTAGCGACAATCAATCAGTAGCACTGAATCATTTATTCAGCATGCTGAATAAACATCAAAAATAACTTTGTGTGAACCCTGACTCAGATTATGCTGTATTAACAGAAAAAAAAGCTGGTAAGCAGGTCTGGTACTAGTTTGCACTGTTATGCACTTCAGAACTAGACAGGTCAGCTGAACTGGTGCCACCTCACAGTCTAGACTGAAACTCCAGTGCCCGAAAGAGCAAACCATTCCACTGGCGATTTAAAATAGTTGTTAAAAGAAACAGGTGAGGATAAATGTTTTTACACAGTTGATCGGATCCAGAACACACTGCCTGAAAGGGTGTTGGAAGTCGATTCGATAACAGCTTTTGAGAGAGAAGTAGATAATTATTTGGGGAGGACAAGCTTGCAGGGCTATGGGGAGAGCGCGGGGGAGTGGGATTGAATTGGATAGCTCTTTTCAAAGAGCCGGCACAGACATGATGGGTCGAATGGCCTCCTTCTGTGCTATATAATTCTATGATTCTATGATCTTAAACATTGCATTCGATCAATGCTAGAATAACCACAGGGACAACACAATAGTATTCCTTGCCATTATACAGATGCTGGTGTCGTGGGCTAACCTGAAAGTCACAATTCTGAGAAGTATAAAAAATTATTCCCGCAGAAAAACAATTTCGAAGAAGAAACATTGCTTAAAATATTTATAGCCTTTGCTATTCCTTGTTACAGATCAACCATGTTTCACCATCAGTTCATCCCAATTCCCCACTGATCTTATTCATCACTAACAAGAAATTCATCACAATAAGAAGCGGCAAGACTTCATCATTAACGTTTCCACACTGACCTCAGGAATCCGTTGAATGAAATACGCCATCGCCGATATGCTTCAAGGCAATCTATTCTCAAACCTCCGCCACTCCAGCATTTCTCACTCTCTGCGCTGACGGTTGAATCAGGATGGATTGGGTGCTGAAGAAGTAATATTAATAATAATATTCCTTGCATTTGGATTAGCACCTCATCACATCATTGAGATGTATTCGTGTGTTAAGCTCAGTAATAACTGCCCAAAACTTAGCACAAACTAAATGGCTAAATTTTATTTTCCGAAGGTCATATGCACACATGGTAAATGTAAGAGCCGAACGCTAGATACTAGCTAGCTAACCATACCATTGTTAGATTATAGAAGTTGTAGTCTAACAATAATGAACATTAAACAAGTGTAGGATGGAGAAAGTACTGACAGTCATGGGATAGGACACATATGTTTTTCTCTGCTTTTGAAAGAATAACAGGACAGCTTTGGAAAAGGGCAGAGGGTCCCCTCTTATCAGTAAATGACAAAAGCCACAGAGGTAACAGTCCAAGGTAAAGGACGACACAGGATCTCGACTCAGCAATAAATTGCTAGATTCTGACAGGGCCTGCCAAGCGACAGAAGGCTTTACCTAAACAGAATGCTGACTGACCTTTTTGAAATCTAACACCATTTATACAGTTGCTTTTCCCATTTGAGATTTGTGATAAAGAAACTTCTCCATTCACACAACTTGTTCTCCACTCAAATCCTGGCCCCTCAACTCTACTTTCCTGTACAATTCATCCAGCTTAAAGCATTCCACATATAAGCTCCAGTCATGGTAGAATAAGCACACAGAATACAGAATCATGCAATCTAACATGTTTTTTTTAACTATACCTATGAACATATGATAAACTCAGGACAAAAAATGATCCCATAAATAATATTTAGCTGGAAGTTTAATGTAAAGGGTTACTACAAATAAATGTAGGGCAGTTTAGATTACATGCAGTTATCACAATTTACCTCAAAGCATCCAATCCCTTCAACTCTGAGAAAGAGCCAAATTTCACAAAGGCTATTCAACCTTCGACAAAGACGGGTAACAAAGAAAGTTTTGTCAGTCTTGGTGAAACCCATAAAATAGACTGTGTCGATAGCCTGTTGAAAATCAAATAAAAATAGTGAACACGGTTACTATTAACACTGGAATTCTTTTTTTAAATACAAGCAAAATAAAATCCAAATGCAATTAATTCACTTTTGAATTTCTATATCCTGGAAGTTTACTTGTTAACTTTAATTGTTAAAGTTTCACTCCAAGTATATTTTATGCAGTTTATACGACATCTAGTACTGATTCCACAAGCTTCCATCTCCTCTAGTTTTTAATGTAGATGGTAACCTACTGTACTTGTGAAGCTACCATAGGCTTATTACAATGCCCACAAAATACTCAGTCATTCCACTTTACAGTATATCCTGTACAGTATAGGTCATTTTTGAAGTGCTTAGAAATGCCTTGACAACAACAACAACAACAAAATTACATTTTGTTTGTGTGGGGGCAGAGAGGCTGAAAGCACAGCCACCGATAGTAGGGCGGGTCGGGCGGGAGACATGGAGCAGCCCGGTTGAAGTCGCTTAGGATGATGAGGTGGTCGGAGCAGAGGCAGAGTGATACAAGGAGGGTGGAGATGTCAGAGATGACTTGATAAGCCGCTATCTCAAATGTCAGGATGATTATTATTATTATACCCTTCCCAAGTGCGCACTGTGAGCCTACGCAACTTTACACATTGCAAACAAATCCAGCTCCATTAAGCCTGAGATATTGTCAAGCGCTTCGAGATATCTCGAAGACCTGATAAAATGCTCTATCAAATACAAAGATTGTTAGTATTATAAGCAGATGGCAGCAGATCAACTGTAACACATCAAAGAAGGAAAATGGTCCAGTCAATACTGTAAATAATAATAATAATAATAATCCTTGCATTTGATATCGTGCTATTCACGTCTTCCAGACGTCTCAAAACAAATTGACATACATGCACACGCACACACACACCAAAGAAAAGCCACTGGAAAAAGTACAGATCAAAAACTTACTTGAGGATGGTTCAGAAACTTTTGCACACATTCCACGTCTTCAATGGTAGATCTTAATTGTTTACCCAATCCCCCTGTTTCGCCTTCAATTCCATCTCCAGTTGGAAATCCTTCACGTCTTCTGCAGACTAATCCCATGTTCTGTTTCTCCTGATCAGTTATATCATTCCATCGATCTTTCCAACAATAAATGCGGTAGAAAATGTGAAAGAGTAACTTTTTCACTGCGTACCATTTCCCTGGCACAGAATACTTCCCATTTAACAGTCCAGGCTCATCCTCCAGCAGCTTCTTCACAATATAAATGCAAAGGAAAGTGACGATAATCAAACACAGATTAACAATCATTCTTACTTCTCTTCAGGCAGCAGACTGAACATTGAACTTCTGGTGCAAGTTGATAAAGTTAAATCGGGGGGATGGGGGTTAAACTAAGCTTTTCAAACAGTGTGACACGTGATTGAGAAGGAGCCAGTGGTGGATTTTTACACATTTTATTGCTTCAGCAGCCGATTCAGTGCTTATTCTTTGATTTGCACACACACTCTGCATTTGCGTTGCCTCTCTCCCTCTCTCTTTATTAATCCTCTCTTACACTAAGGAAGTTGAGCTTCCGTGCCTTCAGCTCCCCTCTCGACTCTCTTCCCCCTCCTCGCTCCCTCCCTTCCCTCCCCTCACCCTGACCATTTCCCCCTTCCTCGCTCCCTTCCCTCCCCTCACCCTGACCATTTCCCCCCTGCTCGGGTCATGACCCAACTGTGCAGCGCCTTGGGACGTCCTCCTGACGTGAAAGGCGCTTTATAAATGGAATCTTGTTGTTGTTGTTGTTGTTGTTGAAATGCATCCAGTAAATTCCTCGCAGCAAGAGAGGTAGTTTTCAGAAAGGCTAGTACAGTAATTCAGTATGAATGTTACTGCACTTTGCTTTGGGGCCAGAATATAATAATAATAATCCTTGCATTTGATACAGCGCTTTTCACATCTGCTATATTTATAGAGTGCCTTTCACGTCGGGAGGACGTCCCAAAGCGCTGAACAGTCAGGTGTCGGGGCCCGAGTATGGGGGGGGGGTGTGGTGTGGTGTAGGGGTGAGGGAAGGCAGAGAGGTGGGAGGGAGACCAAAGGCACGGTCGAAGAGAAGGGTCTTGAGACCGGTCTTGAAAGAGGTAAGGGAGGAAGCGAGGCGAAGGGATCATGGGATGGAGTTCCAGAGTGTGGGGGCAGAGAGGCTGAAAGCCCGGCCACCGATGGTAGGGCTGGTCGGGCGGGAGACGCGGAGCCCGCTGAACTGTAAAGATACTGTAAAGTGAATTGACTGTATATTTGTGGGCGAAACACGGCAGCCAATTGCGCACAGCAGTGTCCCACAAACAGTTGTGGATTGAAGTGACCAATTTATTATTGTTTTATTTCTTGAGGGATTATTATCAGGCGTGTGGAGTAAGGAAACTTGCCCAAGGTTTCACCCTGTCGGGAATCGAACCCAGGCCTCTCGCTTGCGAGGCGAGCACTCCAATCATGTACAGGACCCTAAGGACTCTGGAGTCCTTACAGGATGCTACAGGTCTCCACATTTATGTCAATAACTGAACAACCTACAAAAACAAGCACTACACTTGACAGCAAATGGTACACAAATAGATACAACATCTGCCAGAAGGAATTCTGCCTCAATTGTCATGCGGGAAAAATTTCTGCATTGCTGCACCTTTACTTTCCAGAGAAACAGACGCATCTATTTCTATACGAAAAAAAAAACATCCACTGGAACTTCATCGCTGATGTGTCTTCTCAACCGGAAAAATCCCTGTTAACCGTTGAACCCGAGGCCAGGCAGAGGAATGTCATGTCTCAGCGCTTGGTGCATTTGTGCATCTGCTGCTCCGTCAAAATTAAAGCTAATCGTAATTGCGGAACGCTATAACGCAACGGGCAACTCGGATCAAGACTGCCGGCAGCAGCGCGTTCGAATGCACGTCGATGGGAAAACACTCGAGGGCTTTTGCCTTCCAACTTTGCTGTCGTTCGATGCGCTTCACACACACACACACACACACACAGTCACTACGCTTCACAGTCTGTTCGGTCGGCGAAGCGCTTTGAGACGTCTCGAGGGCGCGACGAGGCGCTGTATCAAAGGCCGAGGATCGGTGTTGTACGTCGCGCCCGACCCCGGGCGCTGCGGACAGTCGGACAGAGCTGGGGGTCGGAATCCGGGGCTGGGGGGGGGGGGGGGGGGCTTTGTGGGGGGGGGGGGGGGGGGGTGGGGGGTGTGGAAGGAAGGTGACCGAAGGCGCGGTCGAAGAGGAGGATGTAAATTGACTGTATACTTTGTGGGATAAAACGAAGTCCCTTTCATGTGTCGCTCTCTCCATCTCAACATCTGGCCATGGCTTTCGGCTCAAAGCATCTTCTGGCCAAGGCGAGCTCCCCCGAGCGCTTCCGAGCCGACCCGAGCCCGAGCCCGAGTGCCTCCGAGTCCACGACCCGAGTCCCACCCCCGAGTCCACCCGAAGCGCACCAACCCCCCCCGAGTCCACCCGAAGCGCACCGGCCCCACCGAGTCCACCCGAAGCGCACCAACCCCCCCCGAGTCCACCCGAAGCGCACCAACCCCCCCCGAGTCCACCCGAAGCGCACCGGCCCCCCGAGTCCACCCGAAGCGCACCGGCTCCCCGAGTCCACCCGAAGCGCACCGGCTCCCCGAGTCCACCCGAAGCGCACCAACCCCCCCCCCGAGTCCACCCGAAGCGCACCGGCTCCCCGAGTCCACCCGAAGCGCACCAACCCCCCCCGAGTCCACCCGAAGCGCACCAACCCCCCCCGAGTCCACCCGAAGCCGAGAAGTCAGTTGCTCGGTGCCGCCGTGCGGTGCGGTGTGCGCCTGCGCGCTTCCCTCCCGCTCTCGCTCTCTCTCGACGCTGACAGGAGGGGGAGGAGGGGAGACGGAGGGCCAAAAAAAAAAAAATGGCAAACTCTCGGCTCGAAAGTCACTGCATTTCTCTTGACTTATCGCCGGGAGCCGCCCCTCGAGCTCTCCGCCGGCACTGACCTGGGATTGAGAGGTAGGGAGTGGGGGGGAGTGGGGGGGGGGGGAGTGGGGGAGGAGCAGGGGGTCAACTTTAAATATTCCAACGGTTTCTCTCCGCCGCCGCCCGACTGACTGACCGCGCGCCCGGGGGTGGGGGGTGGGGGGGGGGGGGAGAGATAGGCCACTGTCCTGTCAAGACAAGATTCAAACTTGCTGCATCCCCCCCACCCAATCTCCTCCCCCCCCCCACCCAATCTCCTCCCCCCCCTCCCACCCCCCCATTTCCCACGCCCTCCCCCCCCCCCCCCACTCCCCGCCCCCCATTCCCCCCTCCCTGTCTCTTGCCTCTTTTAAGCCTTCAAATCCTTGGTGCAGTTAGAGGTTGGTGTGTGTGTGTGTGTGTCTGTCTGTCTGTCTGTCATCTGTGTGTCTCTGTGTGTGTGTGTGTCTGTCTGTGTGTGTGTGTGTGTGTCTGTCTGTCTGTCATCTGTGTGTCTCTGTGTGTGTGTGTGTGTCTGTCTGTCTCTGTGTGTGTGTCTGTCTGTCTGTCTGTCATCTGTGTGTCTGTGTGTGTGTGTCTGTGTGTCTGTCATCTGTATGTGTGTGTCTGTGTGTGTGTGTCTGTCATCTGTGTGTCTGTGTGTATGTGTGTGTCTGTTATCTGTGTGTCTGTGTGTGTGTGTGTGTCTGTCTGTCATCTGTGTGTGTGTGTGTGCCTGTGTGTGTGTCTGTCATCTGTGTGTGTGTGTGTGTGTGTGTGTGTGTCTGTCCTCTGTGTGTGTGTGTGTGTGTGCCTTCGTGCTGATTTTTATTTTGTGTCCCCCCCCCCTCCAAATTAATATTAATATTTATATTTATGCCCTGCTGTTATTGTACTGTGTGGGTTTTTTGGCTAAATCTTACATCACCCCCACCCCCGCCCCACACCTCCATCACCCCCTCCTCTCCTCTTTCTTCACGGTCTTAAGGTATTATTTCAAAGCAATACAAGAATATTTAATTCGTGATCTATCTCCAGATCCTGGTATGTGCAGTCAACTCCAAATTTGAGGCATGTTTCGGACAGACAGAGCTGTAAAATCCCAATTACAGTTTAGGATCATTTTTACGCTATCCGTATCGATAATATAGAGTACACATCGACTTTTATATTCCAAAGAATCAATTGGGCAAAAAAATATTTTCACGTGCACCGTGCTTTTATATCGTGTTGTCTGCTGCATTAATAACCATAAGTCGACAAAGTATGACCTAATCAAATGTAAGCAATTGCAAAGTAGCTCGTTTTAATTCGGATCTGTGTGTGTGTATCTTATGCATAATGTGCAACATAACAATCATAACACAATAAAATGGATTTACAATGAGATTGAGCACCTCTAAACTGTTGTTTGTTGATCGTGTTACATTTCTAGGCAATAGTATGGTAAAGTAAAACTTAATTTGATGTGCTTTGCTGCTCCCATTTACCACGTATAACCCTAAAGGAAAACAATGTACACTGGGTGAGATATCAATAAAAAGGTTGAAGCTCCAAAAAACTTTGACTAGAAGAGTAACACTGATATAATCGGCTGAGAACATGACAACCAGTGACTATAGGAATGGACTAGTGAATTTGTTTTGATGTTGGTACTCATTGCAACATGCTTTCACACAGTAAACCTTTTTATATATTCCCTTGCGACAGACATTTCTAATACAATGTACAGTATTTTGCATTTTTTTTATGTATTTGTTATTGGAGCAGTGATTCCTGCCAGCGTGGCTAGAACTCTGGCTAGTAATTCAGTGTCCTTGAATTTCAAAAATTATTCTTTAGATGTTAAGCATGCATTTAATTCATACAGAACAAATTTAAAGTGTTGCTTAAGATAGTAAATAGTAAATCTTCTGCGAGGAAGACTGATTAGCAGCAAAGTCCCTAAGCTGCTTAATAGGACAGAGCAAGTAAACCCATGCTAAATCAGATACCCCAAGGCAACATGACCAGAGGGCATTGGCTCAGGATATAGAGATGGGCAAGTTAATTTTTTTTACACATAGGGTAATCAGCAATTGGAATAGCCTACCAGAAATGTTGGTTGATGTCAGGGTACTGGGCTTGTTTAAGAATCAACTTGAGATCATCTGATGAGATCAGATGGGCCCAAGGGCCTTTTTATCAGCGCTTTGCTTGATCTTGTGACGTTGAGTGATCAGATGGTGTAAGTTGGAAACAGTGATATACAGACATTGGATTATACATCTTGTTTTAAGAATTGCACCAGTACACTGAGATATAACTATCAAATCAATGCAAACACTATGTATATTAAAGATACCATGACACTACTTGTAAAGAGAAGGGACTTACTCACTGCTTCTTGGCCAGCAATCCCGAGATAAAATTGGTCGTTCACTTCATGACTGTCTATGGGAAATTGCTGTGCACGAGTCGGCTGCTATGTTTGCTGACATAATTATTATAGCTATAAACCTTTACAAACTATTATAAATGGTGTTTATATTATATTTTGATTTCCAATATGAGCCAACTGCTTTGATCTCCCTAATGGCACATCTGTGACTTTGAGGGAAATAAAAAATCATCCTACAAAGACATCTGAAATGTTTTGTTTAAATAAGATATTTATTATGTTCATAAAATAATTAAACAAGAACAGTTACGAGTAGGAAGCGTCTCACAGAGAGCCATGAGGTTCCCCAAATATCCATTAATCTATATATTTGTATTTGTAAATCTTTATATTAAATTAAATATTCAGTAGTTAATAGAAATGTAATTTAATTTCACTTGTAAAAGACTTCTTAACGTAGAAATGAGAAAGGGTAATTTAGCGTTCTATTTTGTTTCTGTTCTTCAGGTAATGTTTCCTATACTATATAAGATATATGTATACTTATTGGTTATGTTGTTTTAGGATAAAATATATTTTTTAGTAATAGGAAAAATTCTAGAAAGACCATCATTTTTGACAGGTTTTAGCCTTGCCTACCTGACATCATCCCACCATGTCCACCAATCCGTTCTTTCTCTGAATACACATCTATTTGCGTTTAGAACTTACTTCATTTTGCTTTGAAATGTTATTAGTTAACTTATTCCACACGTTTATTACCCATTGTGTAAAGCAAAATCATTTGAATCTCCTTACTCCTATTTTTGTCCAGAGCTTTTATTTCCACAGCGCACACAAGTAGAGGGAGTAGTTTCAAAACATGAGTTATTTATGTTATAGTACCATGCTGCTTTTTACAGTGAACCAAATACAATGTAGTGGATATGGGTACAATAGCTGTATCAATGAAAACTACAAACACTTATGATCTTTGACATTAAGTGTCAAAAAAATAATAATAATAAATTGGTTACCTCAATCCACGATTGTGAGATACTGCTGTGCGCAATTAGCTGCTGCGTTTTGCCCACAAAATACACAGTCAGTTCACTTTATAGTATATTCTGTGAAACGCTTTGAGACGTCTTGAAGATGCGATAAGTTGCTAAATTGGTGTACCTTTGGAGGTGTGGATTAATGCAGTGCAGCTATCCTTGATAATTTCCCAATATAACAACATAGCATTGCCTGCAGCAAAGGGTGGGGAGGGTGGTTCCAGGGGAATTTTAACACGCCCTTGCGAGGTTTGGTTTGTGTGGATTAGCAATCTGGTGAAATCAGTTATGGAATGTTTGAGTCACTGAAATGTATTTCTATTCTATAGTCCATAATTGTTAAGGGTAGTTGACTATATTGTTCTGTAAAATCTCCAAATATTCAAATGTTTTGTGGAGCTGGGCACATAAAATTGTAATTCCATACAGATTATGGAGTCCTGTAGCTCAGTGGTTAGAGCACTCGCTTTGCAAGCGAGACACCTGGGTTCAATTCCAGGCAGAGGGCGAAACCTTGGGCAAGTTTCCTTACTCCACAGCCTGATAATAATCCCTCCAAAACAAGAAACAATAATAAATTGGTCATTTTCAATCCACGACTGTTTGTGGGACACTGCTGTGCGCAATTGGCTGCCATGTTTTGCCCACAAATATACAGTCAATTCACATTACAGCATATTCTGTGAAGTGCTTTGAGACATCTAGAAGATGTGAAAAGCGCTTTATCAAATGCAAGGATTATTGTATTATTTTAGAAAGATATACAGTAATAGATATTTGCAAGTCTAAGATACCAATCTAACTGAAGTTTTCATTTGGTCTTAAAATCACAAGAGAAAAGCTCAGAAGGTCTATAATAATCATTATTTGAACATAAAGCTAAAATTGGAGCCTTTTAGGCAACAAGTGTCTACTGTAGACAAATGATTTATGTCCTGATAATGCTACCAGTAGAACTACATTCAAAATATGTCAAACAAGAATAGTTTAAGTTTTGTTTCAATAATTAACATGTTCACTCATTTAATAGGACGCTGGAAATTACAGCACTGCAGAAGGCCATGCAAGCTTCCTAATGTGAACTATCTACTGTACTTTATTTAATTTGCCTGCTTTTTCCCTCATATCTTCACATGTATTGCAATGCCTTTCTTTTTTGTATTCTCTCGCCACGTCCTCATTGAGAAGCCTGGACGAAATTTTGAAAAAGACGAAAATTTATTTAAACAAAGTACTAATCATATTTGTTATAAAACTAAAATGCTTTCAAGGGATACAGAGCAAATACATCACAAATGTCATAATTGACACAGTCACTTAATTGCCAACATTTGTTAATCCTCTAGCTAGTGCCACTCAAAAGGATCTTTACTCTGAGCTATTCATTCGTCCCTTTGAAATTGCTTTCACTTCAAAGTAACTCTTTGATCATTTAATGCAATACAAAATGCCAAATTGAAGTATATTGTTACTTAAATGTTTTGATTTATGCAATGGACAGTGCTGATTTTGGACAGGTTCTGTACTTTCGGCAGCTGTTATTGTATGCTTTGGCTGTCTTACCTGCTCCATCTCCTCGATATGTGATGACTTTCACAGAATAAACACAGATGATTGTGACATCATTACTGAAGGTG